TAGGACACCCTTGAAGTGTTTAGGCTTAAATTGCTTGCACTATAATCTAGTTGTTGAGAGGATGAAGGCACTAGTCACCCATTGAATTAATTCATAAATATTCCATCCCACCTGAAAAAGTCCTTTAGGAGAAGCCATTTTGAGCCTGATCGTTTATTGTTTACCCAATTAATAGAGCTCCATAACCAAATGGCCTGAGTTCCTTACCCGTGAATATTTCTGACTTAGCCTTGGCATTTAGGGAACTAGGGGATTAATTTGTTAAGTTTAGGGAATTTGTGTAGGAGCCATTTTTGGCAATGTTCCTATGCCCCAAAGTGGGGTAAGAGCAGTCACTTTTTAGGAATTTGATACTTTCGAGGATTGCATTGTAGGCATGGATTCACATTAATAAATGAACTTTAATTGCTATTTTTCCTTGATCAGGCCGAGATTAGAATGAGGTAATGTCTAGTAAGAATCCGAAATGTGAAAAATTAATATAGCTAGACCTCTTACCTTGCGAAAAAGAGAATGGGAGCCCCGGTCAAAAAGCGTAAGTGTTTTAACCAATAAGATGAGACTTGGGTATCTTTCAAAAGAAATGGCGTTCTCGTGCCATCATGACAAGGAAAACTACACTTAATTAATGAACTTGGAGGCTTTAGCAAAATTAGCTTTAGTCCTCCGCGTACTTCAAGTATACGTCAAAGCACCAATGTGCCGCGACAGTTTAGCTTAGTTGTACACCATGCTTGCTCTTTGCATAGGTTTAGATGATTATTCCTAAAATTGTATCCTTCTGAGTCCCTTGATCCTAAGAATAGCCCTGAAGTTCCTGAATGCATCGAGTCTTTGTTAGAATATTCCAATCTATCAAAAGAAAGGGATTGTCTTTTACCATTCACCATCACTTTCACAAGTCCTTTTGATCAATAATTACTTTATTTGTGTTATGCTGTCATTACTTCGAGGATGTTGTGAGTACTTCATCAAATAGTTTAGATTGAGTACAAAGATGTAGTTTAGGGAAGATTTTTCTTGGTTTAGTTTGTCTGTTCTTTGAATATCCCTTTAACTACATGTGCATGCTAATTGTTTTGATTCCGTGTGGTAATTATCGTAAGTCCCGTTGTTCAGTTTGCTTGAGGACAAACAAAGGCTTAAGTGTTGGGGAATCTGATAAGTCCGTATTTAGACACGCATTTGATGCGTGTTGAGATTGGCTTTTGATGGTTTTCCTAGCTTTAAGGTGTTACAAGTCTCAATTTTAGCTCAAGTTATGTTTAACAGACGTTGGTTCGAGTTTTGTGTCATTTGGAGTAAAAATGAGAATTTTGGAGTTCGGCACCAGCGCTTGAGAAGAAATCAGGATGAGTTGAGAAGCATTCCAGAGTGAATTGAGAGATTTGGAGGTCACCGGGAGGTTCACGATGAAGTTTTGACGACAAGAGAGCTCTAGGAATGGCTACGAGATCAAAATAAGATGAATGGAGCTTGAAATCGGCGATCAGGATGACCTTCTGTCAATCGCTCAAGCATATCTCTTTGTAGAAACAACTAATGGACATGATTCAAGTTGTATATGAAATACAACTTCAAGGGTTACAAATCATATGAAGACACCATTACAAGAATAAAAGAGCAAGAAGGTGAAAACAGATGACGAAGTTTGATGATCTCTGCTGCAATTTCAGAATGACACCTTCCACCGTTTCGATCATATCTCTTGATTGGATGATTCAAATCATATTCGGCAAGTTGGGGTGGATAGAGTACTTCATTATCTAAAACTTTCATGAAGGAAGTTTTGTAAAATTCGGAGTAGAGAAAAGGCTGAAGAACACGGACGCACGACCATGCGTCAGGGACGCACGCTCGTGCATAAGAGCCAAAACCGTGGAGGAGCTACTGCCTGCTACGCACGATCGTGCGTAGCCAGGGACGCACGATCGTGCGTAGCCCCGAGTTACACACGGAAATTTGTCACATCGACCAGAATTGTGATTTTCCCTTCTTTTCTATAAATAAGGCCTCCCTGACCCTTTTGAGGGGGACTAACATTACGGAGAGGCCTAGGGATGAATTTAACACCGTTTTTACTCTATTTTCTTCCAAGGCCCTGAGATTATTTGTAAATTCATCTTTTTAATTAATGACAATTTATTCTATTCTTCTCAATTCTGTTGATTCTTCAATTATGAATTGTGGGTAGTTTAATTAGGGATTTGGGATTGATGAAGGGGTTAATCATGATTGATGTCTAGATTCTTTTCGATTTAATTGCATGAATGCCGTTTAATTTGTGTTTGAATAATTTAACTGATATCTTTTGTAACCTCGAACCGCGGTTAGAATTACAATTGCACATAGAATAAATTAAGAGAGATCTAGTTTATTCTAGGACACGTTCACACACACTTAATCGTTGGCTAAGAGATTAGTAGCGATTAAGGGGCCGTAAGCTCGCTCGTTTTGGCAATAATTTAGAATCTTGTCGCATGAGAGATCTGCCTGATCCCCTAAATTATTGTACTCTACGCCGCGAGAACGGTAAGAACTTAGTATTGATTAGCTAGACTCAATTAAATTAATTTCATGTAATTAGGCCTGATCTGCCTGAAATCTGATTACCCCGGAATCAATCTCGGCTCCCTTCGTCGTTAATTAGAGAGAACCCAATCTTTTATTTTAATCGTTCATTCGCATTAGTTTAATTTTAATTCAACCAACCAATCTCGCACGACGCATTTATTTTATTTTATTCCTTTTTAATCGCTGAATTTAATTAATCTTTGATTCCCTTTTGTCCGTCCATGTGGAGACGATACTCGTACTTTCACCACTATTCTACAATCTTTTAAAGTGCGAGAAAACTCACATCACTCTTCACCGTATCCCTTCATTTTTATTAAATCTCAGCAATTAGTTTTCATATTATGTTGGCTATATCATCACATGCATCACATTCCTATTTGCTTTAATTTGCAGATCTGGGCATGTGAGACATTTCTAGGGCTTGATAAGCAAATTTTTGAGTGAGGAGGGCGAGATCAAATTTGTGGCCCAGGACAATGCATTGGTCAGCCCCCGCTAGGCCTTCACAGGCTCACAGCAACTCAGCAAGTCATTGATGATGTCATATTTAATAATGACCATGTATAAAAAGTAAAAGCTTCAATGTATGAATTATATTTTTAAAATGTGTAATATAGTAATTCTTTAAATTATGTTTGGAGGTGTAATGCGAAGAAAGGAAACCCACTGAAAAAAGAGATGAAGACGGAGTTGGTGAGTAAAGCATGCACGAGTATTTTAAATGAAGTGGATGCTAGAGAGGGAAGTGAAAGTGACAATTTTGAAGAACGAGGATCCAATAGAGTGTCACCCAGAACATTAAAGATTAGCAGTAATGTTGAAGAGAATAAGGTGACTGCTCAGAGAGGGAAAGGAAAAATAAAATGGACACTGACATTGATGGGAAGGACGATAGAATATGCACAATATAATGGAAACAATTGCATTATAGTATAATGAAAGGGATTAAAAGGTTATAATTGAAGATGGATAAGGTGTGTGAGTTGCAAATGAAACAATTTAGCATGTTGAAGAAAGTTTTGATGAGTAGAGGCAGGATGTGGAAGAATAAGAGGATGAAGAAAGTGTCGAAGAAAACAGAGAAGAGAGATAGTGAAGACATGCCGGGTTTTGACTTGGGTATGAGTTTTAATGAAGAAGTGATAGAGGACAATGAGCAAGGTAATGAGCATGATGAAGTTGATGGAGAGTTGGGTTGTGAGAGAGCAGAGGTGGTTGATGCAATAATGGAAGACGATGTAGAAATGACACAGAAGGACATATTCAAGGACATTGATGGAACAATGAACACCCAACAACTGGTAATCGATGTGGATTTGCTTGAAAGAAATATAAGTTGTGATATGGTAGAGCAAAAAGAGCATCATGATATTCAAAGCTTTGAAGATATTGGAATGTTGGATACACAACAACTATGTACTTGGGATGTGAGAAATTCATGGGAAATAAGCAGAGTCCACAAGGCGGTGAAAAAGAGAGTTAAAATGTAAGTGATTTTTAGAATTATTGTATCGATCACTAAGTTGTTGTATTCGAGTAATTTATAATGGATTTGATGCATGCATTGTGGTGTTTTTTTATGGTAAAATGAGACTGCAAAATGCATACGTGTGTACAATTATAGCGTTTGTCAGGGTCAAACAACCATCCACCTTCACCAATATCTCCCGAGCATGCAAATGTTTTCACGTAGACTTATGGATAAGTTAGGAGTGTACAATGAGCGAAGTGAGGCCCCCCTATGAGGGGGGACTTATTACATATACATATGGTCAAAGAATGTCCACAACAAAATGACAGGTATGTCATTAAAGTAAATGTGCAACGTTGGTATCATTACAAATGTTTAGTAATTCATGAAGTGATAATTTTGTTTATTGTTGAATAGTGACGGTTGTGACATGTTTGTGCTAAAGATAGTTGAGTATTTATCTTTAGAATTCTTCTCCGTTTCGGGATTTGATCGGCACCCCCCCGCGTGTAAGAGAGAGCCTTTACCTTTAGGAATCTTAACTCCTTAAAAGAGGCTTCCCTTTACAAGGGGGTGAAAATCCCTTGAATTTTCCGGTGTGGTATAAAACACACTAGAAACCCATCATTTTCCCAGTTTTTCCATTTCAACGAGTGAACTTCGAGAATCAATTTCTCATGCACCCGTTATCCGTTTTGAGCGTACCATATATCGAATTGTAGCCCTTAACAAGGACAATATGAAACCACTTTGACCCGACCCAAACCGGAAGTGGACCCCACTCAAATAATTGCCCCAAAATGGCCATTTAATGCAATTTTTAACACATTTTCCAACACCAAATAATAACAATGCATAAAACCAATGAATTCAAACTTAATTCCTACGACACTCGTTCCAAATTTCTTGTGCTAAATTATCTCTAAATGCAGTCCACGCACTGGTGGATTCAATATTCTGTATGTTTGAGACATTTAACAACGTATCAGGATCAACATAATCCTCGGGCACCGTATCCTCAAGTGGGTCCCTTCGCATCTCCCTTCTTATATGATTGTGCAGTAAAGCACAAGCCGTTATCACTCTACAATGTGTCTTGATAGGATACCAAGATCTTTCACGAAGAATCACCCATCTCATTTTAAGTAACCCGAATGATCTCTCAATGACGTTACATGCGCTAGAATGTTTGTAGTTAAACCTTTCCTCTTTTGTTCTAGGTTGATTGTTTTGACTCCATTCTTTTAAGTGGTAGCGCTGGCCTCTATACGGAGCCAATAAACCATCCGCATTACTGTATCCAGCATCACAAAGATAGTAGTAACCTAGAGTAATATCTTATGGTTAGAAATTATCTTGATTTGAAAATATAACTAAGAGACAGCAAGTATTATTTACTTCTCACTATTAATACCTTGAGGAACTAGAAAACCATTGGATCTGGAAATTGCACTTCTTAAAACCCTTGCATCAGCAGCGGACCCTTCCCAACCAGGTAGTATGTAAATAAAATCTAAATCTTGAGAGCAAACTCCCAATACATTTGTGGCCAAATCACCTTTTCTTGTTCTATATTTGGGTTTGTCGTGCTCTGCAACATTTAACTTAATATATGTTCCATCCAGTGCACCTAAATAGTTCTATATTTTTACAGTTAAACAAACATTTTGTTAGTAATTAACTTATAACTTGTATTCATATTTGAGTTAGTTTTAAGGAAATTATTTTGAGTTTATTACCTTAAACCACTTTCATGGGTGTGCTCTGCAATTTTGAGGTACTGGTTCTGCCTTCTTAAGCAAAACTTCGTGTAATCTCAAGATAGCAAGTAAGACACTATTAAAGTGTCTGCTAATTGTTTCTCCGCTGCACACAAATTCTCTCATGGCTACTCTATTTTTAGTATGGTGAGCCAAAATATAGAGAAATGAAGCAAGCATTTCTTCAATAGACGTGTTCTTTGTTGACCGCAGCAAACCAATGCTTTCAACCATATTACAGAGCTTGTAAAATGCTCTCCTATCCATCCTAATGCTATCCACACATTCTATATCATCATCCCAAATCATACTTCTAATATTTAGACATCTAATTGTGCATCTCTCGTAAGCATTTCCCTTTTGACTTCTCTTCCTCTTTCTTAGAACAAAGTTGGGTGCATAGTACTCCAACATTGCAACTAACAGAACTAGTATGTTTTTTAAAATGTAACATGACAGAATAAATCGCCATGTACATTGTTAATTCCTCCTGCGTAGGGCTGTCCATTTTCCACACTAACCAGAGAAAGTAAATCGGACTACTACTTTAATGATATAAGTGCCAATATTCACAATTAAACTATATATATCATGTAAGTAAACCCATTATGGTTAGTTTTCATGGATCTCAAATGCTTTGAATTGAATTGTATACTAATGCAAGTGTTTTTGTAAAAATAAATTAGCAATGGTGCTAGTAACATCAGTCTGATTGAAGGAATAAAAAATAGAAGAATAGAAATATTACAATTAATTTATCAAAAGCCATCATAAAAGGAGAACAAAAGTCTACCAAAAACCCAAGCCGGCAAAATTTTTCCTAAAAAACAAATTATATAGAATCATAACTATACCCAAATGATTAATCGAAAAAATGACTAATTTATATAGATGAAAATATTCTAATATCAAAACTGACTTTAGAACCCCGTGTCTTCAAATTTACGGTAGTTCCAAACATACGAGAGAAAGTGCATGTCAAGTTGAAAGCAGCTCTAGATGCAAGGAATTACAATCAATCGTGTGCCAATTAAATCATTAGGTCAATAAAATTTTGATTCCAAAAAAACACGATAAAAAGAATAAGAAGACTAAGAGCCTGTTTACTAACAGAGATATTTTCGAGTTTTCAATTTCTGTGTTTCGTTCTCCAATTTTCTGTTTTCATTTTCCAGTTTTTCTATCTCCAATTTTGTTTTTTCATTTTTTAGGTTTCCATTTTCAAATATGAAAACATGTTCATATAATTATTCACCCGGTTCTCTAACCGACCAAAAGACCGAAAGTATGAACCCAGTTCGGAACCGAACCTAGTACAACCCAAGTAGGGTACTGGGTCCCACATATAGGAAAGTTGGGACCGAAATCGACTGGTCCAACATATCCGAACAAGTACCGTCTGGGTGTGGATCGGATATGACAGGGACCGTCGGGTCATCGACCGGACAAGGACTGTCGGGTTGTGGACCGAAATGGACAGGGACCGCCAGATCGTGGGACCGGACTGGATAGGGACCGTCGGGTCGTGGACCGGACAGGGACCGTCGGTTCGTCGACCGGGCCGGTACCGTCGGGTCATCGATCGGACTAGACCGGGTTTGCTCAGCCGTCGACCGGACTGGATATGAACCGCCGGGTCAATGACCGGACCGGACCGCCGGGTTGTTGGCCGGACCAGATAGGGACCGTTGGGTCATTGACCGGATCAGGTTGGAACAAACACTGGAGCTGGACCGGATCCAACACTATGTGTAAGTATGCAAATTCATTGCAACGACCCTGCAACATCCGCATTTTCCAAATTTGGAAAACTAGTAAAAGTCACTTCTAACAGAGACATATCTCATTTTTTGGTTTTGGAAAACGATTTGGTAAACGCAGCTTTCTGTTTTCGTTTCTCCAGTTTTCCAGATTTTTTTTGGTAAACACGTTTTCTGTTTTATGTATTCCATTTTTCCAGTTTTCTGAAAAACTAGAAAATATCTCTATTAGTAAACAAACCCTAAATTTTTTACCTGGCTTGAGAGGAGATCTGCTTATGCTTGTTTCGGAAAGATGGGATTTGTGAGAGCAGATCTCTTCTACTTATACCTGCTGCGGAAGATGGAATTACCGCCATCTTTTTTTATTTTTGCCGTCAAAGAGAGTAGGATTAGAAACGTAAACAACAGACGAACGTTTTTTATAATACGGGTGTAAACCATTTTAGCACCCTCCCCACGTAAAATAGTTTACATGGTACGGTGTAAAATGTTTTAAAAAAGTACCCTATAGATTACATTAAAAAATTAAACCAAACGGTGTAAAAAATTAAAAAAGTACCCTATAGATTACATGCAAAGTTTACTCCCCTAAACTTTGCATGCAAAGTTGTTTAATTTACAGTTTAACAAACGCCCCCGGAGAGTTATCCGTATTCCGTGCATTCTACAAGTCGCAAAACAAAAGGCGGACCGGGTTCATGCTTGACTTTGAGCTAAAATCCCAGCGAACCGAGCTCACACCAGCACTATACAATTCCTATGTTGATCTCAACGTGTGATCTGTAGGACACGTATAAATACAGTGGGCTGCTTTCGATATTGTCATTCTTTTCCGATGAAGGAAAACCCTAGCGCTACACCCCAATCAAGCTCCTGTACCCCATCGATAAAGGATTCGGCTATCAGATCTCACGTTTTGCATCGTGTAATTTGAATTTTTCTTTATAAAGATTTTAGGCCTTATATGTAGCATGTATAGATCAGATTTAGATTCGTAGTCTTTCATGATTGTAATTCTCATTCACAGAATCGTGAATGAGCTATATGTTTTTTAGGTTGTCTTTTTCACTTTCTTATTTCGAATTTCACGCGAATTCTTTTTATATAGCGTTGTAATTGATGTATCGTAGTCAGGATTAAGGTTTTGTTTGGGCGTTGAGAGTAATCGATGGAGATGCAAAATTCTCGTAGGCCATTTGACAGATCCAGAGTCGAGCCAGGGCTGAAGAAGCCGAGGTTAGCTGAAGATCCTTCTACGGATCGTGCCTCGAATGGAGGGAGCACGATACAGCCACGGTTGTTAGCTTCCGGCTCAGTAGCTTCAAGATTTCGAGCTGGTGAGAGAGGAGGGGATTCCGAGAGTAATGATTCTGTTCGTGGAGCGTATCCACAACTACAACAGCAGCTTAATCATCAGGAGCTGGTCAGTCAGTATAAGACAGCTTTGGCCGAGCTTACAATCAATTCAAAACCAATAATTACCAATTTAACTATCATAGCTGGAGAGAGTATGGCAGCTGCAAAGGCTATTGCAGCCACCATCTGTGCCAACATTCTTGAGGTGATATTCCAGATTTATACACATCTGTTGAATTTAGTGTTAATTTTTCATTATTGTACAGGAAAAATAATCCTACAGAAAGTGAAGCTCTTAGATATTAGATGAGATATGTGTAACTGTGTAAGTTGTGGGGTTTAGGTATGTGAAATGGTAAACTAATTGTAAAAATGTGTTGCTCAGTAAATGAATATCTCGCCTTCAAAGCATTCTGGTTTATTTTATCAAGTTCAACTGTTATTGCAAGAATATTGTGATTGCCATTCTGGTTTGCTAGCAAAAGTTGTGGTTTTTATTGTAAATTGGCCCAAAGCTATGTGATTCTGAAGTGTTAACGACAATATATAATCTGTAGTTCTGTATGTTGATGCGGTCTTTTTTAATTCTGGAATGAAGGGAGAGACATTTCAATAATTTTCAGCAATACCTTTACTTGGTTCAAATCTGGAAGTAATCTCATTCTATGGCTAAGGTCATCCACATTGCCAGCTCTGCAGAATTATTCGCAGAAAGTTATCTATTGTTATATGTAGAGAATACTGGGAGATCTGAACTTATCTATTGTCAAATTCCATCTTTTATATTTTGAAAATGAAAACTGGCAGTGTCTTAGATGCCACAGCAGTATGATGTATAGATAATTGATGTTCCGTGAGACCTGGTTTTGGATAATAGACACTTTACTTGCGAAAGCAGCATTAATTAGCTTACAAACCTCACCTCTACATTGTGCACGAGAATAATTAAATTGTTAAATATTGAAGACTGCTGATCCTTGAAGATGGCTGAATCTCCAAAACTTATGGGTAAATGAAGAAAAGTAATGTACATTGATTTGCATTTCTTTGAAGTTTGAACACTGAGGGTGTATCCTCTGAGATTAATCAGTTCGCACTCTGGGTTATGCTGTTATACTGGTGTCACTAATCACTAATTAAGTGAACATGATATTGCCATGTCAATGACACCAAGCTGGAGATGTCATTTCCATGTCAGTGCCAGCATTATGGTTGTGAATATTCTGAATGGTTAATGTCTCTCAATCTCAAGTATCATCTGATATTGCAGAAGAGTGTATATAAACACTTCCTTTCTATCCTGAAGGGAATTACTTCATGTCTTCATTCCATGTTGTGAAGATTTCTACTTATTTTAATGACAATGTTTAAACTATTACATTTCCTACTGTGTTTGCAGTCATGCAGAAACATAATTTGATTTACATATGCAAACAAACAAAACATTTTATCTGTTTTTGGTTAATCCACAACTCCTGAGTTTCTCATTAGTCATTACACTTTAGCATTGATGATTATTCTTATATGCTCTTGGTGGTGCTTACGGTTTTTTGCTAGAATGACCTATATAGCAATGTAAATGCTTGACATCAGTTATTGTTATGGAATATTAATTAATTCACCATATCATGTAGTATTTTTGGAATTAACATGGTTACCTTGCTCTGTTTCAGTTGTCATTTTGACGATTAGTGGACTTCTATTAATCTGCATCTGGAAATTATTTTACAGGTTCCGAGCGATCAAAAGCTCCCATCTCTCTATCTTTTGGACAGTATTGTGAAGAATATTGGGAGGGATTATATTAAGTATTTTGCTATCAGGCTACCTGAGGTTAGATTGTTATTACGTTTATTGCCCTGTTTCTCTTCCCAGCATTGAATTTGTTATGTTTTCCACTTGCATTACAAATACCATTAAAGAAGTGGTGGTATTTTGAGTAAAGTTCTGCCAGTGCCAATTGGCGATATTCTCTGCTGTAAATGTGTTCTACTTCTGACTTACCACTTTTTTTTTCTTTATTTTAGGTTTTCTGCAAGGTGTACAGACAGGTGGATCCATCAATACATTCTAGCATGCGGCATCTTTTTGGAACTTGGAAGGGTGTATTCCCTCCACTAACACTTCAATTGATAGAGAAAGAGCTTGGATTTACAGTGGCCAATGGTTCATCTTCTGGGACAACTAGAAATGAGTCGCAGAATTCTCGTCCTGGACGTAGTATTCATGTTAATCCCAAGTATTTGGAGGCTAGGCAGAGCCTGCAGCAGCCACCCCGGGTAAGAAATTGAATTTCTAAGATTCTAGGTCTTGCTTGTTGAAATGAAATGACTCCGAATATATGTAGTTTATTGCAGCTCTAACTGCTACAGCATCGTTATATTTTGATGTCTATTCTTTTATTTTTCCACTATTGTTTCATGATGTTTCCTTGAAGTTATGGAGATTGTAACTATAGATCTTACATTCCTACGAAGAAGTAGCAACATATTAATTTCCTTTTTTAGGAATTAAGAGTTTGAAGCAAGATAATCATTGCTTACGTTGCATTTTATATCCATGCTAAGTCTATGCCTGTTAGGGGTGGTGGACATTGTTGGTCATAAAAAATGTCTCAATTTATATCATATTTTGCAAGGGAATGTGTGGAGTTCTTATCAAGGTCTGGGCAGACATGGTTACACGCTTTTATTACTATTACTATTACTATTATTATTAATATTATTCCCTATCTTTTTAATGCTTTGATTTGCTTTGCTTTGCATTCATATCCTTTATTGTGACGTAAAGGCTAAAGGAACTGCGGGTGGCATCAGTTCAAGTTATGTAAGCTCACCTGAGGACGTTGATAGACTGGAGAGAAGAAGCAGTGTTAGTTCTGGTCCTGGAAAATCATGGGTGGATCCTCCTATTAAGGTTCTGTTAGATGTGAAAGTTAGAATTTATTCATCTATAGTAAATTAATGTTGATTTAGTACCAGTATATGATTTTTAAATATTGTGGTGTGCAGAATATTAACCATCTTCAGAAAAGTCAGTTCAATGAACCTGTCACTGAGAAAGCCTTAAATGCAGAGAAAACTGTGAATGTATCATATGCAGATTCTACATATGGTTCTGAGATGTCAAGGCGGCCTATATTACTTGCAGAAAGAACTAGTGAAAAATACAAGAAACAAGGATTTGACAAACCTTGGTATGATTCTGACAGCAGTGCCGCAGGCTTAATCTCGGGTGAAAGGAATGGTTATGATCTCAAGCATGGTTTTCAAAACTATCCCACCCACAAATCTGCAAGTGCTGAAGTATATCCACAAGATTCTACCAATAGAGTTAGCCCTGGGTTGAATGGGAGCTGGAAAAATTCTGATGAGGAAGAATATGCATGGGATGATATGCATTCGAGATTGCCCAATCATGCTATTGCGAAAAACACTGTTAAAGATCATTGGGCAAATGATGATGTTGAAAGAGCGGTAAGTTTGTCGGATTTGAAATTTGTTAGTGTTTAACTATGTGAGCCTATTCAGATGGTGGTATTAATTAGAGAGATACTATCCACTCTTCTCGCTCTAATTCTGCAATGTGCATGTTAGTTGTTTTTCAATATCAATCATGTAATGGATATTGCCAGTAGCAAAAATCTCAACTCATGAACGTCTCATGTTACAATTCAAGGTGATTAATCTCATTAGTCATTATTATTGAGGTTGCAACAGGATTACAATTAATCAGCATTATTAATATAATGCCATACCCCAAATAGTTGGGAGCTTGGGATTAAGGTGTTGATGATGATCTGCTATCTATATTCTTTTGCCTGAATTGATCTCATCATCTTCACACTTGTGTTTCAAATTTTAAATAAACTTTTAGTGCTCCGTAGTCATATTGTATGTTGTACAATGGGAGATGTCTGTGAGTGTAGTCTATGCTATTCATAAGATATAATTACTTTTTGAGGTTTGTGGCTCATACTGTGGCCTATGCAGGATTTGCAAACCCAGCTACGGAGATTTCAAAGCAAAAGGGATGCTGGTGTGTCTGGCTTCCATCCTGATGCTTCAACTGTTTCATCAATTGGGGGAGAGGGATCACCACTGTGGCCAAGAGAGGTGCAAACATCAGATACTGTTACTGCTTCAGAACTGGCTTCTAGAGGCTTTTTGAGGCACTCTGAGGGCTATGATAATTCTCTCAGTGGTAGGTTTCCAAATGCTGTGAATCCGATTTCCCAAACGAGATTTGGACTATCATCATCAAATGCTCTGCCTCTTTTGGAAAAGGAGTCTAGGGGTGCTGCATCTCCCTCTGCACAGTCACCTATGGACCAGCTTCCACCATCACCGCCTAATGATCAAGCGTCGTTCAACATAACTGAGCAAGACCATGCAGACACTAGAACCTCTCATATTTCAAGGAGGTCAAGCTTAGACCCCCGTCAGAGATTATATCAGGATAATAGTACTACTCAGCAAACACTCCCTAACAATGTCCATTTTGTTGGTAATTCACAGAGAACAAATTCTTCCTCCGGTTTATCATATCCTTCTCCTTCAATGACATCCTCTCAAGGGAGGAGTTTTGCTCCCTTCCCTAAGCAGCCAGAACTGAAAGCCAAGGTGGCTGAGTATCTTGATCAAGGCCGGGAACTACCAATTTCTCAAATTCCAGGTGTTACAGAGCTATCATCACTTCATGCAAGTTCGTCACCTGGCCTTTCGAGTGTCCGTAGTGCTGAATCCCCCTTGCAAGCAACTACTAGCAGTTTGCTAGCTGCTGTCATGAGTAGTGGCATTTTGGGTACTACAAATCCTCCTGTAATAACTGACAACTTGCCAAGGTTGAATTCTGGAGATGCAGCAGGACCTTTGTCATCTCAATCAGACTCCCACCCTCTTCTACCAGCTCTTAATCCTGTTTCTACTAAGAGCAACCAGCCATTAGAGGGGAGTGTATCAGTTCGAACTACAGGCTCCCAGGGAGGACACATGGAAAGGCCATCTTTGCCACCTGGCCGAATTCCTTCTGCCTCAAGTCCAGTCTCAAGCCTTTTGAGTACATTGGTGGAGAAGGGGTTGATAACTGCATCAAAAGAGAAGTCTCCAACATCTAAAGCTCTCATCCAGAGTCCAACTGTGAATATTACTTCCGGACCTGCTCCAGCATTTTCACTTTCTAAAGGAAATTCGTCATTGTCGAAGAAGTATGACCAGGTTCTTGCAAAACCTGCTGCTAAAACATCTGATGCCTTACTGCAGCCTATTGCAAGAGATAAAAAAAGCCTGATTGGGTTGATGTTTAAGCCAGATGTTATTCGGCAGCCACATCCCACCGTGATTGATGATCTATTAGATGATCTTCCTCATCAATGTCATGTATGCGGTCTTAAACTTAAGCTTGAAGAACAACTTGATAAGCATTTGAATTGGCACGAAGCAAGAAGCCCAGATGTGAAAATGTTGAATAAGGCTTCTAGGAAGTGGTTTGTAAACTCAACAGAATGGGATGTTGGAAATACGAGCAGTTTAATCGGATGTCCTGCCAAAAATTTAGAATGTAATGAAATGGATATGGTCCCTGCGGATGAAAGCCAGTGTTTGTGCATCTTGTGCGGTCAGCTTTTCGAGGATGTTTTCTGCGAGGAGAAGGATCAGTGGATGTTCAAAGGTGCTGTTTATGCGATTAGTCAATATTTGGGTAACCAGATGTCAAGAAATGAACCTAGCCCTGCTCCTCAAGGTCCCATCGTCCACAAAAACTGCATTACTGAGACTTCTCTTCATGATTTGGGGCTGGCTGAGGACATTAAGGAGGTAAATATTTAGTCGATGTGAATTCTTCATAAACCAGATTTCGAATTCTCTATAATAATTTTACAATTTCAGAATTTGTTAGTGAAGGCATTTTATCAGAATACAATGATTGCTTGTATTTGTCTTGGGTGGTGGTCATGATAAGTCTCCTATGTTTGCACATTTGTTACAGATCTGCTTATGAAAACTCTTCTTATTTCATTCATTGCTAATTGAATAATAATTGCCCATTGTCAATCCCAGGAAGATTGATGCCTGTCCAAACTCCAAATGCATAATTCTGGAGACTGGATGGTAACAGCATATACACTTCAAGGTATTTACTCTATGACCTGCTTGGTCGTGAAAAATCCGTGGCTCTTTTGGTAATTACCGGCTTTAGTCCAGATGATGAAAAATATTGAATGAGCATATGGCAATAGTCTCTCTTTGTCATCACTGTTCTTTTATGTCTTTGTCTCCCTGCATAGCCTGAGATGGTGCCCTCCCTCCGAAGGGGAGAATTTTGGTCATTGATGGGTAAAGTCTCGTTAGTATGCTGGTGTGGCCTTTTTATTTCTGGTGATATGCATCTTATATTCACCTTCGTTGCCCTTGATGCTAGAATGCCAAGGGTTTTCAGGAAAATGTTGGTGTACTGCATCAAATTGTTGTAAATGAACAATGAAAAACAGATTTGAGAGAAATGGTTCAATGTCTTGATTTCACCTTTTCATTAAAAGAAACTCTAAGGAATGATTTTTTTACATCAGATGCCACAACCCCTTATTCTGAAGTCCCTGTTTGGGCATTTTACTACTACAATAAGTGTGGGACTGGGTAACACACACATTTGTCATGATTGTGGTGGCGCTACGTCACAGATTGGCTATTACCTTTACAATTTTGTTGCCTTTTGAGCGTTAAGGCACGGTTTGAATTTTTGTGGATTTTTAATTGATGGAAACATGGAGGCTGGGTTGTAACAAAGCCGCACGGGACATACTTTTAGTTTTTATTTTATTGATGTGAAGTTGGTATGTCAGTCTCAGGTTCGACTCCAGGGCGTACATTATTCATTATTGTATACCCAGTATACTCAGATCAGTAATCTGTAAAAGGAAATTGGGCAACTACCATATGTAAAGGAATAAAAGAAAACGATAACAATAAAAGAACAGAAAAATCTACTGTTTGTGCTACCATTATTATTAATTATTAAAACTATAATATAAAACTATAATGATGAAACTACATTATACTGCTATTGTTTGATAATAGTGAAGCTACTACCCAATGCACATGCACTTGTGTTTAAACCGTCCGTAAAAACTGACGCACAAATTCTTAGTTTGTAAAATGAATATGTTACATTATATTATTGATTTAAGGATGTTTGTAATTTGAATGCAACTTTTTGGCTTGGATTAGTTTGTTATGTACGGAGTAACTTTTATGTGTATTACTCTAAAATTGTCAAAGTTTGATTTGATGTGATCTAGTAAAGTCTAATCTAATGTGATATGAGATTGAAATCAGTTCAATTAAAAACCTCTCGGAGTGGAAAGAAATAGGAAAACAAAACGAGTCGTAGATGTGTATCGGATTCGGTCGGTGGTCCCGGACTGGAAGTCTGGAACCGGGTTAGGTACTGGATCGGAATTGGGTCCAATATTGTGTCAGACTAGAACGGGTAAAAAGCGTTCCCGTTCTTGAACCGGTTTTTCTTTTTTCTTTTTGCCTTGCAGAGTTGCAGATGAACTAATTAATAGAATCGGATCGGCACTGGCCCGATTAAAATACACAATACAAACTTGCCTTTTCTAATACTAATATACTCGTAATACGTATTTAACTAAAACCATTCAAACATGCGTACACTTTATGAATAAGAAGTTGATAAAAAAAACCTACTAAACCTACGAATACGGCTTCGCTTAACACGTCAAATTTTGTCTCCATTAATAATAACTTAGAAGGACAATAATTGTGTAGAGTTTCTATTAGTCCTACACTCTATTTAAAACAAAACAATAATAAGAGTACGTAGCTAGGACTAGACTGTCTGTTGGATTGGCAACGGTCCAGAATCAGAATTGATCAGTTCTTGATCGGAGTCCACCCATAGACGTGTATCTAACTATCTATCATAGTGTTAAAGTAAAAGTGTTTCCTCGTGTTAAAAGTGCAATTGTACATTACTACAAGCATAATTATTTACGGTGAAATTTGTGCTATGGCTATTATTCATCTGAACTGTTGTTATATATAGGGATGGAGTCGGGCCGGTCCGGGCCTGGCAGGGCTTTTTTTGGTTTGTTGAGGTCGGGAATCGGTCCAGGTAGCTATCGGGTCCGGATCGGGTTGGTTCAGCCTGGGTACCTATTTTTTTCTAATTACTTCCTATCTCCACCCCCACACCCAAACCCGTCCAGAACACCCAACACAACCCATTTTTACCTCCCAAAGATTTTGAAAAACAAAAAAATTGGCTCGGAACCCCGACCTCGGTTCGGGCCGGTGCATCACACTACTGGCCAGACCAATTTCGGTTCAGTTGACCCGGTCCGAGTTCATCCCTAGTTATATATGTGCGTTTATACACACAAACATGCACCAATGCTGTTAAAATTGTAATTTGAATTAAAATCGATGGAGGTTACTAACAGTTGTATCTTAAATTATAAAGTTTTTTTTTGACAGGAAACTACCATATTATATTAAATCAAAACTTGCAGTACAACCAGGAGAAATCCAAACAATAAAGTAATCCTCCGACACTAACCTCCCTCTGTACAAACATAACCATAAGCCCACCGCCCCCCTCACTTTTTTATGAGATATAATAGTTCACCCCAAAAGGAGTGAGATTAATCGCTGAAAATGTGAGAGCTTTGAGGCTATTAGCGGCTGAGTCAACCTGATTGCCTCTCAACAGAAATCTAGCAACTAAGATAAACCATTCTAATAATCTACCACCATTATTATTTGACCTATTAAAAACAAAAATAAAGATTAGCAAAAAGAATATAGCCAAAATAATCAAACTTCAGCTGGTGGAATCGCGTAATCCATTCTTCAAGCGTTGTCTTCCAGCCCCTAGTCACACAATTTCTCTGTGGCGGCGATTCAGGAGGAGGACGAATCATCCACATACCATCTTCTTCCTCCACCACCTCAGACGACCAAACCAACTACGCCGATCCCCCAACAGCCGAATGGAGCCCAAAATCGCCCTCTTTAACTGGGACCCATACCGTCAGAGTTTCACCCAGATCAAATATAGCTGGTGCAGCTCCCATCTCAGTCATCATCAGAGCCAAAATAGCCAAGCCAAGCATCAGAAAATCGGGTCTCGCAACCCTAGCCCACCCATAAGGGCTTCTTCGCTTCCTTGCTTTGGTACTGTTGAATTCCATCTCTTCTGTTTAGTGCCTTGGTGCGTGAATATGTGCCTAGCGTTGAAGGCTCCATCCCTGTGATTGGTGTTGAAATTCAGATGTGGCGCTAACCCTAACCCTGAAGGCTCTACCGCTGCTTCGTGCTCTTGTGGACGAACCACACTTTAATTTAAGGAACCCCTGATCACTGCTCGTACAAGAGGATGAAGAAAGTCCCTGTTTTCAGTCCGCCTCCAACCCCGGTAATAGAGCCACTGTTGCCGATCCACTCCTGCTTTCCTTGACAAAACTCAATTGATTGTCGCTGATAAGGAGCCTTCCCCGCCTGATATGCCTCACGCCGAATTCTCTAGTCAAAATTACACCGGAGAAGATCTACGCACACCAAACTTAACCCTAGACCTACTAGGCTCTTCCGCTTATCTTGGTAGTCGACTTTGCCTCCCTGGTCTTCCTACGAGAGTTATACTAACTTTTTTTTATCTTAAATTATAAAGTTATTACCCTGAACATGACTAAAACATTAAAAAAGTTCAAAAAAAAAAGAGTTAACTTACTTTCTGTTTAAAACATTAAAATGTTTCGAAAGTTCGAAACATTAAAAAACATTCTTCTCCTTCTTCTCCCCCTCCTCCTCCTCCTCCTCCTCCTCCTCCTTCTCCTTCTTCTTCTACTTATCCTACTCCTCCTCCTGTCTCCTCCTCCTCCCTCCTCCTGCCTCCCCCTCCTCCCTCCTCCCTCCTCTGCCCCCCTCCCTCCTGCCTCCTGCCTATGCTCCTCCTCCTCCTTCCCTCCCTCCCTCCTCCCTCCTCCTCATGTCAATCAATTTTTTAATTCTACAAATTAAGTTTATGATTTGAATTCCAAATACATTGCTAATAATGCCATGTTTTTTACGTGAAAATATTATTTTGACACTTAGTGTAATTTTTATGGGATTAACTCCTTCTGTATGACAAAAACAATACGATTAATCTCATGTTTTTCATATATATAAAAATGTTGTTTATGCACATAGTGCCATTTTTATGGCACTAACTTTTTAAAGATGACAATAGTATTTTCTTGCAAGCCTAATATTTATAATGCATTAATGACATGAAAACACCAAAATGGCAAAAATTCTTATCCTCTTTTTTTCATTCTTATTCTCTATTTTTATATAAATCTCATCAAAAATGGTATTCTCTGCTCTTTTCAGTTGCAACACTTTCATTTTCTCGTTTGCCAACATATAACTTTAAACATTTTCTTAGTTGTAAGAATTTAAAAAATATCACATTCTGAAAATTTTAAAGTTAGAAGAATTCAAAAATACTTTTCTAAAAAGAAAATTATGTTATGCCATGAAACCAGGAATGGATTCTTGCTTTACACGGAAATAAAAAAGCACAAAAATGAATTTCGCAAGTTATTGGTTTCATTTGGCTTTCAAAGTGATCGACAGAAAAAAAAATGACGGCCAAGTTATTGGGGCTCAAACTTTTTTTATTGTTTGTAGATACAAAATGAAGGAATAAATACAAAATAAAGGAATAGTGAAAAACTGGTCTCGATAGTTTCTTTTTGCCGACAGACGCACTCTTTATGTTGGAGGTTAAAATTGGAAAAACATGTCATCTTCGGTCCTATTAAACAATACTGTGGTATCAAGTCCTATTTGTGTGCATGGCATGACATTTAGTCCAGAGAATTTTCTCTAAATTATACTATCAAGATTTTACAAAACAAACTTCGTTTAATTTATTAATAGTTTAGTACACAAATACTAAAATAAACCTACACGATAAAAAAGGGTTATAGATGTTTAGGTTGTTGATAACATGTGAAAGTATTTTTCGAATTTAATGTCACTAGTAGCCCTAGCACTTTCCCGTTCTTAAATAATTGCAACACTTTCTTTTTTTGGCAGTTTAAAAATAGTTGCAACACTTCCTTTTTGGGTAATAACAAATAACCAAAATGACAATCATAACCTTAAACTCGGTACGTCCGTCTACTACACCCTTATTCCCCACTGCCAAACCTTTCCACCCCTCCGTCCCACCCGACCACCCTTCATCTCTGTCCACTTCTCACCAAGCTTTTTCTAGGCCTTCCCATCTAGGCATGGACTCGGGCGGTTCGAACTGGCCCGAACCGATACTATGTGGTACCGTCCCAGCCCGGCGGACTGGGACCGGGCCTTGGGGCCCGAACTAGGGGGTTTTTGGGGCGGGCTACGAGATGGTTATTTGGTGGACTGGCCCGGCCGGTCCAAGACCGATCCGTGCCCATTTTTTTTTTGATTTTTTCGAATGGATTGGGTGCTAGGCGGGTGGGGCTGGGTGGTTTGGGGGGTTTGGG